TTGATTGTAGTTTATAGCATTATCTAAATTTCGTACCTTGCTATCATTGAGATGGGCAGTGTTTATGAAACGGAATGGGTGAAGGTTGAAGAGCATAGCAGTATGGAGAGGTACAAGTTTTGGATAGGGTGTAAGTAAAAATCCGACAACAACCGCCCAGGAATCAGTAACATCCAACGCGTTTGGTAGAATAGGACTAGACATGAACCAATCAGTATTATTAATGAGTTGATCAATTCTGTTATTAATAATATCAAATGAAAGAATGAACGTATCGGCAAATACGTATGCATATTGTTGAGATGGACTAACTTTAAGCAACATGTATTGTTGGTGTGTTCCAGACCAAATATGAGTATGACTAGCATTCAAACCGATTTCTGACGATATTTCTAACAAAGAATATTAGATATAAAGTTATGTTTTTCGTTGAATAACTAGTATATTACGAGCTGAATATTTTAGCTCTTACAAAATAATTGGTCAACAAATTATTTTAGTTACTCTCGATTTCATTTTTATGCATGAACAATTTGGCACGTTCATCAATTATTTTAATGTTTCTCACAACGAAGACATATTTATATGGGCGTAAACAATCGACCTAGAACCCCGATATTTATTTGTTTATATAGCTTCATTCAATTATCAGAAAAGCGTGATTTTCTAACCAGTTGTAGCTCATATATAATATTAATGATTTATTATTGTTTGAGATCTGTATGTTATTAGGAATGAGACTTGTTAAGTGTATTCTTATAATCATTGTATTAAAGGTACTTTATATCTAAATTTTTATTAAGAGTTTTGAAACAACATGAACTACCACTAACAAAGTTTTATTATCAAGTTGTTAACCAGAGAATGAATATTGAAAACAACCTCATTTAATTTGTGGAGAGAACATAATACAAGGATGTAAGCGCTTGTTATCGAGTGAAAATGTATTAAAGAAAAGGAAGTACGAACAAAAGCGATAGAATGGATGAAATGTTATCATGCACAAAATATATATCGAGCACGAGATGTTAATAAATTAGATGTGAAGTACCTTTAATACAATGACTATAAGAACGCATTTAACAAGTCTCGTTCCTAGTAACATATAGATCTCAAACAGTAACAAATTTGGAGTGACCATGAATATTATAGCCATATTACTTTTCGTATACACTTCATGAATTAAAGTTCTCTATCTCGTACAGTCTACTTATCTGAACAAAGCACATCAGTTGATATCTTCGAACGTACGAAAATAACATCATAAATCGTCTGAGGTGTTAAAAAAGAGAGATTCACTAAATAACTTTGCACAATTAGAGTATGTAGAAAA